TTTTTGTCATCTGACAGCAGGCACGGGCCCCAGGTCTCAAGTATGGGATTTCTTTGAGGTCCTTATTAAAACTTGAGTTTTCCTTTGGAAAACGATATAGAATGATTAGAAGAAATTTTAAAAAAAATGCACATTTATAATCCCGTCTTACCTTGCATTTGTTTTTATTTTATATATCACCTTTCAATCCTTGGTTAGTTAATAGCTAACTTTATGGTATAGTTATGATAATGTCAGTGCTTAACAGAACATGTCTACATGACAAACATTCTTCTTACATTTGCTTTCTTATTTAGGCTTACGAAGATTCTATGAGATAAATGCTACTTTTATTTTTGGGAGGTTCAGAGTGGTTGAATAATTTCCCTACAGCCAGGAAGTGAGGAAAGGGGCAGAGCTGGGATTCACTCAGGTGTGAATGAATTCTATTTACTGCACTGCCTTGGATTTTGTACCCTGCTTTTTTACATTTAACTTTAAAATTTTTTATTTTTTTATTTTTTCTATAGAGAGGAAGGGAGAGGGACAGAGAGCTAGAAACATCAATGAGAGAGAAACATTGATCAGCTGCCCCCTGCACACTCCCCACTGGGTATGTGCCCGCAGCCAAGGTACATGCCCTTGACTAGAATCAAACCTGGGACCCTTGAGTCCGTAGGCCGATGCTCTATCCACTGAGCCAAACCAGCCAGGGCTCTCCATAGTCTTTTAATCACCATATTCAATAACTGTAATAATTTTCAAATCAATGTAATGTACTTACCCACTTCCAGTCCCACTTTATCACTGCAGGGAATGGAGCTGAGCATATAGCTTTTTCTGCAGAAGTATTTCCTCGATATTTATCCCTATTTTTAAAATCTTATTTATTTTTAAAATATGTTTTTATTGATTTCAAAGAGGAAGGGAGAGGGAGAGAGAGAAACATCAATGATGAAAAAGAATCATGGATTGGCTGCCTCCTGCATGCCCCCAACTGTGATCGAGCCCACAACCTGGGCATGTGCCTTTGACTGGAATCAAACCCAGGACCCTTCAGTCCGCAGGCTGACACTCTATCCACTGAGCCAAACCAGCTAGGGCTATTTATTTATTTTTATATTCTTACTATTTTTTAAAATATATATATATTTCCTTTTGTTTTTCATATCCCTATTTCTCTTAAATAAACTCACAGGCAGTGTGCCAGAATGATGAAATCAGAAGCTAGGTTCCAGTCTGGGCTCTGTAACTAAGTCATCTGATCTCTCTTGGCCTCAGTTCCTGCATCTGTCAAATGGGGAAGAGGGGCGTGAAATTTTTGGGAACCTTGAGTCTGGCTAGATTTTTATCTTCTTGTATATATTTATGGCAAATAGGGGACATCTCAAAGGCAAGAACTCTTACTGAATTTCTTTTGTTGTCTTATTTTTTATTTATTGGCCTAGATATATCCCCAAATGGGAAAGATCCCTCCTACTCTGCCCCCTTCCCCCAAGGCAGTATCACTTTTATTTTATTTTAAATATATTTTATTGATTTTGTACAGAGAGGAAGGGAGAGAGATAGGGAGTTAGAAACATCGATGAGAGAGAAACATCGATCAGCTGCCTCTTGCACACCTCCCACTGGGGATGTGCCCGCAACCAAGGTACATGCCCTTGATTGGAATCGAACCCTTCAGTCCCCAAGCCGACGCTCTATCCATTGAGCCAAACCGGTCTCGGCGGCAGTATCACTTTTAATTTGCACTTATTTATATTTCAATTTGCATTAGATGTATGCTTCTTCAGATAGTTTGAACTCTTTTATGAACACCTATTTCTTTTGGCTTTTCTCAAGCTTTTCCAAGCTTGAACTGTTTACTTGATAATTCTCAAACATCTTCAAATCCTTTTGCTACTCAGATCTCTATTAAGTAGGGACCTAGGTCCAGATCAAGCATGTCAAACTCACGGCCTGCGGGCCACATGCCTCATTTATTCAGCACGTGTTAGCCTCTGAGTTTGACATGTTTGATCCAGATGAATTCTTGAGCTAGTTCAGTGGGTTATGCATTATGGCCTTTTAAAATGCTCTATTAAAAAAAAAAAGATTATTTATTATTTGCAAATGGAACTTTTAGTGCACAAATACTAACAAATCAACTGCATGGAGAATGAAGCAAAAGGATACGATAGTCATTTAAGTCGCTTCTCACCAGGAGAAGCCCCCCATCCTGTGGTATCTAAGAAGCTCTTTGCCTAAGAAGAAAGTTTTTTATTTCTACCCTAGACTAACTCTGAGGAGGGCTTTGAATATGATTTTTTTTAAAAAAATTGATTTCATCCCTGGCTGGTTTGGCTCAATGGATGGAGTGTCAGCCTGCAGACTGGAGGGTCCCGGGTTTGATTCCGGCCAAGGGCACATGCCCGGATTGTGGGCTAGATCCCCCGTGGAGGGCTTGCAGGAGGCAGCCAGTCAAGGATTCTCTCTCATCATTGATGTTTCTATCTCTCCCTCTCCCTTCCTCTTTAAAAATCAATAATATATATACATATATATATATATATATATATATATATATATATATATATATATATATTTTTTTTTTTTTTTTAAGTGATTTTCCTGCTGTGTGGTTCAGGGGGAAACAGAATGAAAATAAAAAGAAAAATTGATTTCAGAGAGGAAGGGAAAGGGAGGAAGATAGAAACATCAATGATGAGAGGAATCCTTGATCAGGCACCACTGGGATTGAGCCTGCAACCTGGGCATGTGCCTTTGACTGGAATCGAACCCGAGACCCTTCAGTCTGCAGGCGGAGGCTCTATTCACTGAGCCAAACCAGCTAGGACTGAATATGATTTTTTCAAAAAAATATATATTTTTTTTATTTCAGAGAGGAAGGGAGAGGGAGAGAGAGAAACATCAATGATGAGAGAGAATCATGGATCGGTTGCCTCCTGCACGCCCCACACTGGGGATGGAGATTGCAACCTGGGCATATGCCCTGATGGTAACTGTGGCCAAAACCGGTTTGGCTCAGTGGATAGAGGATTGGCCTATGGACTGGAGGTTCCCAGGTTTGGTTCTGATCAAAGGCATGTACCTTGGTTGCGGGCACATCCCTAGTGGGAAGTGTGCAGGAGGCAGCTGATCGATGTTTCTCTCTCATCGATGTTTCTAGTTCTCTACCCCTCTCCCTCTCTGTTAAAAAAAAAAAATCAATAAAATATATTACATATATAAAAAAGAAATTTAACTGTGACCTCCTGGTTCATAGGTCAGGGTGCAACCACTGAGACACGCTGGTGGGGCTGGATATGATTTCTGAATGGGGAAAAGGAGAGGGAGGCCAGGTGGGGGCAGTGGGAAGGTGATGGTAAGGAAAAGGGTAAAAAGTTGTGGAGACACGGCACTCAGAAATTGGCGAATGAGTATTTTTTTCTGGACTCAGCCCATGTCCCCATCAGGTGCTGGGAAATAGAGGCTGGAGCGGTGGGAGGAGGAGGTTTCATGGTTCTGGAAGGGTGTGTTGAGCCCCTCATCTGTGCTAGGTAATGGCGGGAAAACACATAGCCAGCCAAAACCGGTGTGGCTAAGTGGATAGAGCATTGGCCTGTGGACTTAAGGGTCCCAGGCAAGGGCATGTACCTTGGTTGCAGGCACATCCCCAGTAGGGAGTGTGCAGGAGGCAGCGGATCGATGTTTCCAACTCTCTATCCCTCTCCATTCTCCTCTCCATTCCTCTGTGAAAAATCAATAAAATATATTGAAAGAAAGAAAGAAAGAAAGAAAGAAAGAAAGAAAGAAAGAAAGAAAGAAAGAAAGAAAGAAAGAAAGAAAGAAAGAAAGAAGACACGTAGCTAGAGGACGTGTGGCCCCCGAGTTGGCTGAGGGCGCTGACAGGGGAGCGGGTTTGTCCCAGGGCTGGACCCACAGCCCCTGCGACCGGAAGGAAACCTGGCCATCCAGGCCCCTAGCAGCGTCCTACCCCTTGGAACTTGGGCACCTTCCGCTCACCCAGGCCTGGAGCCCGCGCCTCCACGTCTGCGTCTGCGAGGCTCCACGCAGCGGGGCGGGGAGGAGTTGGCCGCGGGGGGTCTCCAGGACGCGCCCCTGCCCTGATGCAGGGCGACCCCGCGGTGGACGTCGGGTGTTGCTGAGGTGCTTGCCTTCGGGGCCTCCAGAGCGCGCCCCTGCCCCGACGCCGGGTGACCCCGCGGTGGGCGTCACGTCGCTGAGGGAGCAGCCGCTGGGGTCTCTAGAGCGCGCCCCTGTCCCGACGCCGGGCGACCCCGCGGGGGACGTCGGGCAACGTTGCCGACGGAGCAGCCGTCGGGTTCTTCAGGGAGCGGCCCTGCCCAACGCCGGGCGACCCCGCGGTGGATGTTGGGCGTCGCTGAGGGAGCAGCCTCTGAGGGAGCGGCTGATTTCAGGGTCTCTAGAGCGCGCCCCTGCTCAACGAGCCAAACAACCCCGTGGTGTGCGTTGTTGCTGAGGAGGAAGCGCTCGCTTCCGGGGTCTCGCGCCTCTGTCCCAACACCGGGTGACCTCGCGGTGAACGTGGAGCAGCCACTGAGGGAGCAGCCGCTGAGGGGTCTCAACTGCGCGCCCCTGCCCCCGACGCCGGGTGACCCCGCGGGACCACGGACGTTGGACGTTGCGGAGGGAGCAGCCGCCGTGGTCTCTGGAGCGTGCCCCTGCCCTTGACGCCCTGAGACCCCGCGGTGGACGTCGGGAGTCGCGGAGGTGCTCGAGCAGCCGCTGAGGGAGCAGCCGCTGGGGTCAATAGAGCGCGCCCCTGCCCTGACGCCGGGCGACCCCGCGGTGGACGCCAGACGCGTCGCCCACGGAGCAGCCGTCGGGTCCTCCAGGGCGCGCCCCTGCCCCGACGCCGGACGACCCCGCAGGGGACGTCGGACGCGTCGCCGACGGAGCAGCCGCAGTGGCCCCTCCGGCCGGGCCCGCCGGGGGAGGGACAGCGGCAGGTGACGGCCGCCGGGGCTATAAATAGGGGCGCGCGTCAGCCGCGGGCGGATCGGGCGGCGGCGCTGGGCCGGAGGGCGCGCGGGGCCAGGCGGGCGGCGGCGGCGGCGGCGGCGGCGGCGGCGGGGCAGCAGCATGGGCTCCCGGAGGGCCCCCAGCCGGGCCTGGGGCGCGGGCGGCGGCCGGGCCTGGGCCCGGGGCGAGCGCGAGGACGACGGCCCCGTGTGGACGCCCAGCCCCACCAGCCGCAGTTACCTGCTGGGGGTGCGGCCGGAGACCAGGTGAGCGGCGCCCTGTGGGGTCAGGGCGGGCGGGGCGGGAAGGGTAAAATGGGGGGCACTGAGGAGGCCTAAGCGCCTGGGAACAGGGGGCCAGGCCTCCGTGGCCTTCAGGTCCCCTCAGGCTCCTCCCGGCCCCTCACAGCCCGGGAGGCCTCAGGCCTCACGCCACTCGAGGCTCCAGAGAAGACAGGGCTTTCTTGGGGCGATTTCACAGGGGCCCCCAAGGCGTGCTTATGGCCCCTGGCCTGACTCCCGCCCTGTGGGTGGCCCCCCGCGCCCCACACTGGCTGCTCCTGCCTGGGCCTCGGATTCCACAGGGAGAGATAAGGAAGCCCGAGCGAGAGCCTGAAATTCCTCGGGCTGGAGGGAGGGGAGCAGACACCAGGTGGGAGGTCGGGAGTGGGGGCTCTTAGCTGGGGGGTCACCGGATGGAAATAAACCAAAGCCAGTGAGGTTCTTCCTATGGGCCCAGGATTCTGCAAAGTCTCCCCGGGATCTTTGTGTTGGGGTGGGAGGGAGTAGGGTGGTGAGGTGAGGGGGTGAGCTGGGATGCTGGCTGGCCCTGTCTGAAGATTGCCCTGCCCAGTTTTGGGGAGCGGGAAGCTAAGGGAGGGGCCGAACTGATGTGCCCTTGACTCCTTTCGGGGAGTCCCAGAGGTGTGGGGTGCTTTGTTTTAGGATCTGTGTCATCACCCCAGGTCTAGAGAGACACAGGCAATGGAGGAGCAGGCAGGCACTCAGGAGGCACGCAGACACACAGGGACACGTGCATTGCCATGGAGATGACCCTTCCTGACCCCATCCGGGCAGCTCAGTTTCCCTCCCACCCCGGAGCATATTTTCCAGAGGGAATGGCGAAGGTTGGCCCCAGAACCTGGGCTTTGTGGTCGTGCAGAAAGCAGCCAGCTCGGGGGAAGCTGCCCGGACATCTCTCTCTTTGTTCTCAGTTCTCGAAACGGCACCAAAACAGGGCACCAAGGACATTTAGGAAAAAGTCCCAGGCACTTCCTCGTGAATTGGCTGCGTTCTGGTGACCTTGGAGTTGGAAAAGTTCAAATGTAACCGGAACCTGTTTCTGCATAAAACTCGTCAAATGGTATCACATGTCTGGGGCAGGGCCGAGGGCTTGTGTTAGGGACTGAGTCAGACTGGACACGGCCCCTGGCTGCGAGGAAAGAATGCCCCCTCGCTCTACCAAAAACACTGGCATTCCAGCCCGTGGGGAAGCCTTGTGGACACCTCACACTTGTCTCACACTTGTCACAGTGACCTATCTGAGCTTGGCCTCCCATGTCTGGCCTTTGTCAATACCCGTGGAACAAGTAGGAGAGAGAAGCAGGGTCTTTCTTGGAGACAGAAGCATTGGAGGGAGGGAGAGGGGGGGAAAAGGTGGTTTCAAAACCAGGCAGTATGGGGGGCGGGGGCAGGGGTCTGGGTTGTTAGGGAAAAGGCTAGAGAGTGGACATCATGCTCACTATCCAGCTGCCCGGCCGAGCAGGAGTCTTGGCTCAGGTCTTGAACCTCCCGTTCCCACAGCCCCTGGCCCTGGAGAGGTTTCTAGTCCATAGTCAGCTCAAGGGTATTTCTAATGTCCCCTGGGGTCAGAGATCCAACATATAAACAGTCCCACCAAACTGTAGGCCCAGCCTTCTAGGGAGTCCAGCCTATCGGCAGGTTAGGCTAGGGGAGGTTAAGACACTCTAGTGAGATGGATGCAATTACAGCTGCCTCATTTCTGAGGGACACTCAGAAGTCCCAGAAGTCCTTGCCCCCTCATTTCTTGGAGGCCCTGGTCCAGCCAAGTGAGCTCAGAGGAGCAGCAGGACCTGTGATGTTTGCTACAGATGACTTCGTAACACCTGCTTTGCTTAGCGTTGTCTAGGGCTTTCAGATCAGGACTTTCCAAGGGCCCTTTATGGCCCCAAATATCTGAAAGCCAGAAGGATGGGAGGCCTCCAGTTTCCATGGCCAGGCCTGGTTCTCTCCAGGCCCGATTCTATTTTTATTAAGAGACAATTCCTTCCTGAGCCCTGAGTTTCCATTCTTTACAGTTAAAGTGACATTAAGAGCTCCTTGAGGCCTTTCTGCCCCAATGCTTGACATCTCTGATTCTGACCCATCAGAGCCAGTAAACGAGGAGTTCCCTGCCTGTGAGAGCCCTGAGGGTCAGCAGGGAATAGTCATTTTTCCACCTTCTGAAGACAGGTGCCTCCATCGCCCAGGATTCCTCCTGATCTGGTGGACATCTATGGGTGGGCCCCAGAGAAAGCAGGACAATGGGGTGAGGGAGCAGAAACTCCCAACCAGCCCTGGAGTGAGAACCGGGGAGGGTCCCTCTCCCAGCTGAGTGCCTCACCCACTTGCAGGTGGAAGCTGTTGAACCTGTCATTTTTTTCTCGGTAATTTAGATGATTCTCTCCCTCTACTTCTCAGGGAAGAAATCCAGACCCAACAAAGGAGAAATCTTACTCGATTCTGAGGAGAAAGGCAAAGGAAGTTCATGGTCAGGAAATGATGGAGTTGGCCAGTGCCTCGGAACCATGGGAGATTCCTCCCACGCTGTCTCGAGAGGATTTTTTAAAGCTCTGAACAAAGACAGCTGCATTCTTGCTTTCTCCTTCCCATCTTTTCTGGAGCAGCAGTTCCTTCTAGGAGGCAGGACCTTTCCTGTTTGAAAGATGCACTTCCCTTCTTTCCTCCCCTCCCCTTCCCTTCTCCTGTTTCTTTATTCCATTCAACAGTTGTTGAATACCCACCGTATGTATGCCTAGCACTGTGCTAGGGGCTGTAGAAACCACAAAAAGATCTGGGTTTGAAGGCTGGGTGGGCAGGATTTAGTTGAACAGAAGGAAAGAAGAAGGGCTTTGCAAACATGGAGGACAAAAGTAAGGTGACCAGACGTCCCGCTTTTGGCGGGACAGTCCTGATTTTTGGAAAGAATCTTTTAAATCTTTTGGAATTTTTAAAAAACGCCGTGGGACATGGAACAAATTGTTAAAAATCGACTGTCCCGCCAAAAGCAGACGTCTGGTCACCTTAGACAAAAGGAGTCCAGTAATGGACATGTCATGCCAGTTAGGAACAGGCCTGGTTACAGTAGAACCTGACTAAGTGTTGGAAATCAGAGAACCATGGCTGTAGTGGGAGTGTGAGCAGATCAGGGAGGGGCCTAAATGCCCAGCCAAGGAGTAGAGACTCAATATAATATATGATGGGGGGACTGTAGCTTTTTATTTTTATTTTTCAGAGGAGGGGTGGTCATCAGCTATAGAGCCATGAGGGTCTAGGTCAGAACACAATAGCTGGAGTATAATAGACAGAAAGGGAGAAAGAAGGGCCAAGAAGTGTTGATTGACTGAACTTGGTGGTTGAAGGGGAGAGAGGAGTCCAGAATGGCCTGGATTAGAATTCCTGAGTTTGGGTGAGTGCTGGTGGTACCCACAAACCCACTGGAGTGGAAGCCAGGTTTTTTGGATAGAGAGGACGAGTTTGGCATTTTGGGTAGAAAGAGAGGGGCTGGCCGAAACCGTTTTTGGCTCAGTGGTAGAGCGTCGGTCTGCGGACTGAAAGGTCCCAGGTTCGATTCCGGTCAAGGGCATGTACCTGGGTTGTGGGCACATCACCAGTAGGGGGTGTGCAAGAGGCAGCTGGTCGATGTTTCTCTCTCATTGGCGTTTCTAGCTCTCTATCTCTCTTTCTTCCTCTCTGTAAAAAAATAAAAATATATTAAAAAATAAATAAAGAAAGAAAAAGAAAGAGAGGCTGCCAGAGGAGCTTTCTTGTGGTGAAAGATGTACACCTCGAGTGCCGTTGAGCAGGCGGGGCTGCTGACAATGAAGGGAGAGCTGTTCCCATGGTAGGGACAGCGGCAAGGAGTGAGTGTGGATGGGGTGGCCCCCGAGGTCTCCCGAAGAGCTGTGGGAGGTGGTGGTCCTAGACTTCACTGGAGATATTTGTGTCAGGAAGGAGGAGGGAGAGCTAAAAGTTGGCTCATGTCTAGTGGCCTGGATCTCCACTATTTGGCAGCCCCAGGTGGGTCCTCCTCACAGCCCCTAGCTAGTGCCCACTCTCAGCTGCCCGGTGGCAGATGGATGACCAAGGCTCTAGGCATAACGGCCCTTGTGCTGGTCTGACTGAACTGGGCGCCTCCTGGTTCCTGCTGAATTAACTGCTTTGTTTATTTCCTCATCACTGTCCCGGCTGATTTGCCTCGTGTGGCCTCTTTAACTGAACTTTAACACATTAATGGGTGTTCTCCAAGCCCCCTGAATCCTTCCCAGCCTATGAGGGGGTTTCTTGGAATGGGGGTTCTTTTCCCTCAAAAGGCTGAGGGTTGCCGAAACCGGTGTGGCTCAGTGGCTAGAGCGTCGGCCTGCGGACTGAAAAGTCCCAGGTTCAATTCCGATCAAGGGCATGTACCTTGGTTGCGGGCACATCCCCAGGAGGGGGTGTGCAGGAGGCAGCTGATGGATGTTTCTCTCTCATCCATGTTTCTAACTCTATCCCTCTCCCTTCCTCTCTGTAAAAAAATTAAATAAAAAATCAAATAAAATAAAGGCTGAGGGTTGAAGCAGGAGCTGCCCCGAGGATGCTATGCTGCGGGCGGAGAACCGTGCCAGGCAGCTCTAAGCCTTTTCTCAGGGACAGTGACTGAAGTGCCTGGGACACTTTCTCAAAGCGCAGCCCTCATGGGCTTCCCTTCTGCCTAACCATCTCCCCGGACTCTGCTGCATTTAGTGCGCTCTTGGTTTCAGAGAGACTGGTGTCTGGTGGTGAGGCCACTTGCTAACCGGAACAGGCCAGCTAAAACAGCTGGTCCCTTTTAATAGAAAGGCCTCTGGGCCGTAGGTAATGGCTGGTTAATACTTTGCAGACTGTTGATCTCGCCTCCCCCCCTCCTTGCTTTTTTGGCCTAATGATTCCATTTGCTGTTTTTGCTTAGCTTATCAAGCAGCCGGTTGTCTCTCCCCAGCTCTGGAAGGTAAATGCACTTTGCATTACATTTCTCTGACTGCCTTTTTCTCTCGGGTATGGACACTGAGGGGCCCTTGGGTGACTGCTTATGCACTGCTAATCAGGCTGCATGGCATGAGGGGAGGGCTGGAGGGTGGGTGGTGGAGGATGTGAGAGATTCTCGCGTGAGCATGGGTTTCACAGGGGCCACATATGACACTTGCATGGATCATTTGAAAGGGGCGCAGGGACCCAGAAGTAGGCATGGGTTCTGAGATGCCTGCACTACATCTCTGTGCACTTGGAAGAGGCATCATGGAACCAGAACAGGGAGCACTAGTCATGTGACCCACTTCTTCATCCTAGGCTTTCATGGCTTTTATTGTATAACCACACACCTAGGTTTGACACCTCATATCTATCTTCTAACCATGGCTATTGCCTTACATTTTTTTTTTCTTCAGTCACTTAAGTCCCCCTGCCACCTCTCATTCTGAATTTTCCATTCCTTTGGCTCCTCTATATGCATGCAGACTATGAACTCTGTGAGGTCAGGGGGCACCAGGTTAGTGTATTCCTGCATTAGCTTGTTCTCTGAATCTTCTGCAGAGCCAGAGCAGGGCCTGAGCAGGCCATAGATGGGGTTTGCCCATTGAATGACTGCCTCCTGAGCTGGGAACAGCTCCTTACCCCTGACTATTATAATCAGTTGGGAGCATTCCCTGGATATTCCCACCACTTGGACCTCATCCCAGACTGGTAGATTGAGGGAGTTTGCTATAATTTCTTTAAACAGAGAAGGATTTCTAAGTAGCTCACTGGTCTGAAAAGCTAATAATGACTACAGAGGTGATTGGTACCTACCATGTACAATAGGTTTCCTTTGATGGGGAGGACATCCTTTGAATATTATATAAAACACTGATTCTGGTTCTCTGGAACAGCGGTCACCAACTGGTGGTCTGAGGACCACTAGTGGTTTGTGAGGTCCGAAAGATTGGTGGCTGCTGCTCTAGAGAACACAAGGTTAGGCTGTGATTGCCGTACAAAGTCACAGAGTTGGAAGGACTTACAGGTGTCAGGGTGGGAAAAGACCAGTTTCAGGTGTGTGGACTTCCTGGAAGCACACTGACTCCATCCCATGTCAGAGTGGTTAGGAAGATGCGGTCAGAAAGCATGTGACCTTCAGTGGCACATGACAGTGTCTGCAGTTACTGTCCCCTGACATGCATCCGGACCCACTCCCCTGGAGGGCCTCATCCAGGCATGCCCTCCAGCAGTTCCCATGATTTTCCAATTTAAACATATATATATATATATATATATTTTATATATAACATAGCCTAGGACCTAGTGTGAAAAGTTTGGGGAGATGTGTTTTTCTCCCCTTCACAAAAAGTAATAACACAAAATGACTACCTGTTGTTGAGTATCTAGCTTGAGTGCTTGTCTCTGCAAATTTTCTTGAAGCTTGACTCCCATGTTTTCTTTCTTACTCAATAGTTGAAATTGTTTTCTTAATCTTGCTCAAGGAGCTTCATCCGAAGAGCCTAAGCTGAATATTACATCCAGGCTCATGTTCATGAGTAAGATAGGATTCAAACTGAGCAGGGAGGACATAATTAGGAATGTTTTGAATTAGTTGCAAAATCATAGAAATATGATTGCTTTTGGCATGGCACTTTCCTCCAGAAACCGTTGGCTGGGATTTAGTATTCCCCAAAGTCAGAAATTGCTGTTAGTACAAGAACAGCAAGAAATGTTTTCCGATGTTATATTTCCTGAGTGTCGGGGAGTTGACAGGCTAGGTCTTGATGGACCCTCTGTTTTTGAATGGAATAAAGGGAAAGAAAAAGACACTTACGGGACAGAGGAGTTGCAGGTGAGAATGTTGCAGGGAGTGTCTAACTGAGACCTCAAGTGTTCAGTTATTAGAGGTCAGTCTTTGTGGGGGAGGACTCCTGTTCTCCCCGAAAGTCTGGGCATCTGAATTCCTGTAGAGACGCCATGGCTGCACCCATCAGTTTAGAAGTCTTGCTTGATTTTAGATACTCCTCTTGGGATGCTTCCTTTCTCCTCAAACTCAAGTCCAGAATGATCTCTGCGGAAATGAGAAATTGAATGTGAAAGGTATAGGGTTGTAGTTCTTGTTTGCTTGTTCCCACAGACTCTCACCCTGCCTGCTCCTGGTAGGACAGATCATGGGGAGACACACCCACTGCCTGTGGGCGACCACCCCCTCCTCTGAGGCGCAGAGAAAGGCAGCTTTGAATGATTTGTCTTTTTCATCACAGTGCTTACCGCTTCTCTTCACTTTACCCCTCACGGTCCTCACCGCTGCTCACAATGGGGTGTGTGAATTGGAGGGGGAGAAAGGCTGGGCACAGCTTGTGTTCCATACCACCTGGCTATGTGGTTACGCTTCACGCCTAGGGACGCACTGAGTCTCTGCTGGCCCATGAAAAGGTCTGGCATGGTGGTTTGCTTCCTGTGCCCAGGAAGGAGAAGACTGTAAATGCTGAGCAGTGTTGGTGAGTCTGCGCTGGACTCAATGAGCCCACAAATGCCTCTGGATTCTACGAGTTGGACTGCCACAGGGAACTAAAAGTCCTGTTTGCAGTTTGGCAGTCCTGCTGGTTGGTCTTGGAGCTGCCAGCCATGTGTTCACTTGAGCATGTGGTTTCCAGGGATGGAGCAGGGGGCCATGGCTGGCTTCCCACCACAGGCCCATAGCTCTGTTTAGGGTCAGAATCCATGTAAGTCTCTCTTTCAATACCCCTAGGAACTTGGATCTAGACCAGTGGTCGGCAAACTGCGGCTCACGAGCCACATGCGGCTCTTTGGCCCCTTGAGTGTGGCTCTTCCACAAAATACCACAGCCTGGGCGAGTCTCTTTTGAAGAAGTGGCGTTAGAAGAAGTTTAAGTTTAAAAAAATTTGGCTCTCCAAAGAAATTTCAGTCGTCTTTACTGTTGATATTTGGCTCTGTTGACTAACGAGTTCCCGGACCACTGGTCCAGACCCCTGGCATTGGCTGGCTTATTCTTTGTCTGCTATGGGTCTGTGCTTGCAAATGCAGGCGCCCCCCCCCCCGCCAATCCCAAGCTTTAGAATAGGCTCCTGAGCTCCTAGGACCCATGTTTCCCTGAGAGTTGGCCAGCTTTTCCCTCTCTGGCATGAACGGAGGATCTGCTACGCTGAGATTTCCCTCTCTGAGGCTGGGTCTATACATGCACGAGCTTTCATGGAGGCGAAAGGTGGAGGGTGAAGCAAGGCCCCTAGTAAGGATGGGGTGGGACGCCAGGCTGGTGGCTGGCATGCTCAGGAGTCTGGCCTGTGGTCAGAAGGCTTCCTATTATATTATAATGGGTCTGGGTCAGGATTCCCTTTAGCCCTGGTACCTCGGCTGTCCCCATCTGAGGAAGAGGCCTAGGCTTCCTTGAAGAGACTTAGTTAAGTGCCGGCCATGGCCCCAGGATGACATATGGGAATGGTAAGACCTAAGCCGCCTCGGGCTACACCAGGCTGTGGCATATTGTGGGGAGGCTGCTCTGAATAGTCCTTTGCCTTTCCTAGGAGCACCTTCTGCTCCATCATTGCTCAGCTCACAGAGGAGACCCAGCCAGTGTTCGAGACCACACTCAAGTCCCAAGCTGTGTCCAAGGACAGCGACGTCAGGTTCACCTGCATCATCACAGGTAACGCGACCATCCACAGGCAGTGCCAAGGGGCTGGGGGATGGACGTGGAGGGGGATTGGCCGTACGCACAGAATTATGCACATTGACATTTGTCTTCTTAGTTTTTCTCTCCAGTTTAATCACCCTATGTCGGCTGGGGTCCCTTTCACCTCCCATTCTGGAGCCATATATACACACTGCCCTTTTTTTAAAAATATATTTTATTAATTTTTCACAGAGTGGAAGAGAGAGGGATAGAGAGTTAGAAACATCGATGAGAGAGAATCAACGATCAGCTGCCTCTTGCACACCCTCCACCGGGGATGTGCCCGCAACCAAGGTACATGCCCTTGCCCGGAATCGAACCCGGGACCCTTCAGTCCGCAGGCCGACGCTCTATCCACTGAGCCAAACCGGTCCCGGCCACTCTGCCCTTCTTCAAAACCCATCTTCAATGAAGGTTCCTCACCTTCAAGCATATACATACGCGACTGATGAATCTTAGTTCTAAGGAAAAAGGCAATTCAGTTGAAAGAAGTTTTTGAAACCATCTCTCCCCCAAATCCCTTCTTTACAGATGAGTAGTTTGAAGCTTGGGAGTCCCAAGCCTACAGACTATTGTACAATGATTCTGACTGCAAACCTTGGAGGCAGACTGTCTGGCTTGGAATGCTGGCTTTCCCCTTTTTCAGTCATGTGATACTGAGTAGGTTACATAACCTCTTAGTGCCTCATCTGCAAAGTGGGGAATGATAATAATATGAACTTTATAGTGTTATTATGAAATGAAATGCATCAATACCTGCAAAGCATTTGGAATAGTATCAGGCGTACAGTAAGTACCATATAAGTGTTAGAACAGAAGGCCATTATTATTTGCATTTCACTGAGCTCCCTGGTAGAATCTGAAGCCACAGGTTGGTAAAATAGGAAGCAAAGTGATGTTCCTTAGAAGGGGAGGGTAGAGGAGTGAGAGTACTAGAAAGCTGGACCAGGCATTGCACCTCCCTCAAACCTCTCAACAGAGTCTCCCACTGTACCAACCTGACCCACTTCAGGTCCTGCAGGACTCACCAATAGATGCCTACCCCTCCCAGGTGTGCAGCCAGCAATTCAAGGGTTCTAGGTCAAGGTTCCCTCCACAAGCACATATTTTATTATTATTATTTAATTTTTAAAAATATATTTTATTGATTTTGTACAGAGAGGAAGGGAGAGAGATACAGAGTTAGAAACATCGATGAGATTGAGTCATCAACCAGCTGCCTCTTGCACACCCCCTACTGGGGATATGCCCACAACCAAGGTACATGCCCTTGACCGGAATCGAACCCGGGACTCTTCAAGTCCCCAAGCCAACGCTCTATCCATTGAGCCAAACCGGTTTCGGCTATTATTTAATTTTTTTAAATTTTTATTGTTGAAAGTATTACACATGTCCCATTTTTTTTCTCCCATTGGCCCATTATAGCCTGTCCCCACTTCCCACCCCTGGCCTTTCTCCCCCTATTGTCTGTGTCCGTGGGTTATGCCCATATGCATACAAGTTCTTTGGCTGACCTTTTCCCACCAACCTTTGTCCTCCCTCTGAGATTCTATAGTCTGTTTTGGCATGGCAGTTTCCTCTAGAAACCGTTGGTTGGGATTTAGTATTCCCCAAAGTCAGAAATTGCTGTTAGTACAAGAACAGCAAGAAACGTTTTTCAGATGTTTTATTTCCTTCTATGTCTCTGGATCTATTTTGTCCAGCAGTTTATTTTGTTCATTAGGTTGCACATATGTGTGCGATCATGTGATACTTGTCTTTTTCTGACTGGCTTATTTCACTTAGCATAGTAATCTCCAGGTCCCTCTATGCTTTCTCAAAGGATAAGAGAGCCTTCTTTTGTATAAGACAAACACATATTTTATATCAAAGGCATTGGTGGTTTCCAGCTGTGATATGTCCTGATTCTGGGGGACTTGTCTGCTCCAGCCAGCTAAACCACTTCTCTGGCATTGGGTTCCCCTGGGCAGTTCTCACCCTTACCCAGAACCCTCTGAGCTCCAGTTTGAGAACGCTATCTACTCCAGGGGACACAGAGATGTGCCTGCTTCCCTTACCTTTGCACAGCATAACATATTTTACAACATTTGTTTCCATCGTCATTGAATTCTTACAAAACCCAGTGAAGTAAGTGCTATTATTCTACACAGAAGGAAACTAGAATAGTTTAGGTGATTTGCCAGAGCCTACACAGCTGGTAAAGAGAGATACAGCCTTTGCTCTGCAGCTTCTGATGCTGTTTGCTTATGCCTGCTTCTCCTACCTTACTGTGGCACTAACTGTTAAATGTGGCTCTCTCACAACTCTAGGCTTTTGCATATATTTTCCATCTATATATAGAGAGAAAAACAGACAGACAGACATTGATGTGGATCAGTTGCCTCTCGCATGTGCCCCACCTGGGGATTGAACCCATAACCTAGGTATGTGTCCTGTCTGGAAATTGAACCGGCAACTGTCCAGTGTGTGGGACAATGCTCCAACCAACTGAGCAACCCAGCGGGGCCCTAATAGCCTCTTAATACAATTTCCTGCTAAGTCATTGCCCTCAGTACTCTGTCACTTACTTCCTTGGAGACGTCTCTCTTGCACATCTCTATTCTTCTGGCTGAACTGGTGGCCTCTTAGGTCTTATCCACTGGTGGCCTGTTAGGCCTGGTCCATAGCTATTCTCCTCGGTCTTCCCTTTTCCTTTCTCCTGGGTTGACTCAGTTTCCTGGGTCTCACATCTTCCCTTTTTTTTTTTTGTTTTGTTTATTGTATGGCTTTATTGAATAACATCCTTCAATAGTTTCAGCAGGTCCTAAAGATGGTACAATGGCAGGAGGCATTGTGATGACCAGATCTCAACCTGTCTTTCCTGTGATTCATTTTGCACCAATGTGATTTAGTTGCATTCTGTGTCTAGTACATGACTGACATCCTAGGTTCTCACTTCACTGTCATCCTGTAGATTCCCTTTATTTTTCTCATGTAATGGATTTCCTGTGTTTTGTATTCCAGGTTTTTCTTTCTTTACATTTTTGTTTTGGTAGATTCCTAGGAGGAATATTTGGGAAGTAGATGTTAGACAACTTATGTCCGAAAATGTCTTTTTTAGCTACTTTACTCTCTATAGAGAGTTTGGCTGGGTATAGAAGTTGAAATTGAAAATAACTTCCCTTTAGAATTTTGATGAGATTGTTCCATTGCCTTCTTGCTTCTAATGTTGCTCTTTGGAGCAAGAGGAGAGTTTGGTTCCTAATTCTTTGCATGAGAAAATTTTCCCCCTCATACCTACCCCCCTATGGAAGCTTGTAAGAATGTTCTACTATTTCATAATGATGTATCTTGATATGGGTCTCTTTTCATCCTGGGGCATGCTTGGGCACTTTCAACCTGGAAGCTGAATGCCTTTAGTTCCGAGAAACCTGAGATTATTTTGATGTTGATTCTTCCTCCTGTCATGTGGATATCGGCTCCCAAGGACTCATTCTCTTCTTTTCTGGTCCTTTTTTTCCTTTCCATCTGGTTATCTTTCTGCTCTACTTTCTGGGACATTTCCTCAGTGTTACCTTTCAACTCTTCTAAAATTTTTAAATTTCTAAAATATCTTTGTAAATTCTTTTGTTGTTGTTTTGTTTTGTTAATCTTCACAGGAGGATATTTTTTCCATTGCTTTTTTAGAGAAAGTAGAAGGGAGGGAGGAAAGAAGAGAGAGAAAGAAAGAGAGAGAGAGAAAGAGAAAGAGAGAAACATCAGTATGAGAGAGATATATTGACTGGTTGTTTCATGTATGGGCTCCAACTGGTGGCAGGGAGTGAACCCACAAATCAGATATGTGCCCTTGACCGGGAATCGAACCCAGGATCCTTCAGTGCTCAGGCCTTCATTCTAATCACTAACCATTTCAGCTGTCCAGGGCTTAAATTTTTTTCTATAGCATCCTGTTCTTTTCATGAATGTAATGTCTTCTCTTTATTCTCTGAGACTACTAATGATACTTTCCTAAGAGTTTCCTTCTCCATGTATAGCTTGTGTTTCTTCCAGTTGGCTTTGTAAAAATTTGTTTTGGTCCATAATCATCTATTTACAGGCTTTCTTTAGATATCTAGGAGATGACTGGCTGGTAAGATTAAGAGTGGGAGACTAAAAAGCTGATTGGAAGTTCTTAGCAAGTAGGAGGGGCCTGAAAACTTGGGTCTTCTCTGTAGGGTGATTTGGGGGCCACTGTTGGGAACCGCCACTGTCTTTAGTTCTTTTCTCTCGGACCAGTGTGTAATCTCCAGTATCTTGTCTAGAGGGTAAGGTTTTATGGGAAACACACAGATTAAAGGGTTGAGTGGGCTTTCTGTATAAAGCATTTATTTTATATGTATGGTTATTACATTTTTTCCATTTTCCACACAATAGTCATGCCCTCCATGGCTTATCCTCAGGGCTAAATTTTATCTTTCTAGTTATAAATCTCACCTTTGGCCCTGGTGGGGAAGGAGCTGTACAGAGTGGATAAAGAGACCCAGAGAGCTGATTGTTTTTCAAATAACTTTTTACCTTTCCAGCTCCTCCTCTAGCCCCAGTCTTTTGTTTTTAATATATTTTATTGATTTTCTTTTTACAGAGAGGAAGGGAGAGAGATAGTTAGAAACATGGATGAGAGAGAATCATCGATCAGCTGCCTCCTGCACACTCCCTACTGGGGATGTGCCTGTAACCAAAGTACATTGCCCTTGACCGGAATCGAACCTGGGACCTTTCAATCCACATGCCGACGCTCTATCCACTGAGCCAAACTGGTCTCGGCTCTAGCCCCAGTCTTAAAGGCACCTGTGGCCAGTTCTTTTGCCCTTTGGGGTTTTAGTGTAGGAAGGGTGTTTGTCAGTTTTCCACATGCTGGGGTAGGGTCAGGCAGTTTTGGGTCTGCTAAGCAGTTTATCCTTGTCCATCTGCTTTCCAGTTTTCAGCGCTGTTGCTCCTATTGCTCTCCTTGCCTG